AGCAGTGTTTGTACATATGAAAGTTGTTTGTTTAATCATGGATAAAAAGGAAATGATTTTTAAATTAATGTTAATAATACATTTATATATATATATATATATATATATATAGTCTATTCTAATACTTTTAATATACAATATAACATGTCCAAAACTGATTATTAATCTGCAGCAAAATTTTTTTTATTGTCCTTTATTTTAGTAACCATAACCCCAGCTGACTGGTCCAGAAACCTGGGAGTCATCCCTCACATCTCTCTGTCCTTTGCCCCAACATCCAATCCTTTTTGAAATATGATCCATTGGAGCTCCTTTACGTTTCTACTTCTCCCCATCTCAGTTTCAAACACTCCTGACAAAGTCAGAAATTAGCTCTTTCTTAGGCAACAGCCTCCTAATCAGTTTCTCCACATTTCACCATTCCCACCACTCACTTATTCCATACTGCAGCCAGGGTGATTATTTTTAGAAACACATATGACCATGCCATTCCTGTCATCAAAACAATTTAGGAGAATCTCACTGTCCTTAGGGTAAAGTAGGAAATCCCTGCTATGGCCTAAGGGATTCTGCTCTTGCCAGCTTCTGCAGGTTCAGTGCCACCACCACCCCCTCCTCCCACAGCCCCTATGCACTGCTACTATTCATTGCTGTTTCCAGACCAAACTGTCATTCATACCCTCTCCCATAAGTCTTTTTTGTGTGAATCACTGTTTCCTCTACTCTTTAGCTAGCCAACTTCATCTCATTCTTTAAGTCTCAGTTCAAATGTCATTTCTTTCTAGAGACTTTCCTTTAACCCCAACACTAGATCAACTCCTTTTTTGCACATGCATAGTATACTGCATTTCTTTGTAAAACTGACCTCACCTGTAATTATGTGTTCAATGTCTTCCCAACTGAACTTTTTAAAAGATATATATTTCATCAATAATTTAGTCATCCAAGCTTTTTATTTCCATCTGTAGGAATGATGACTTCCTTTATATATTGTGTGTGGACCAAGTACAATATCTGTTCTCAATACATGTTAATAAGTAGTAATAATAAAAATACTTTGTCCTAACTTAGCATAGTTTCAACAAATAGGTATTACACTCCCAGAATCAATGTGCCAAATGAAAAGTCACTTCAGCTGTCTCAGCATGGGTACTTTTTACTCACTTGGGAGAGAAATGGGCTTAATTTAACCAGAATAGCAGAGCGTCTGCTCCAGAGAGGTCTTGGGCTGAAGCACCTGGAACCTTAATCTCACTAAAATGACAAGGTCTTGGCAAAGGTGAATGGGGAATCTTTCCAAATGCTTGATCACACCAAACTGGCTTTAGTAGGGTCCTCACATTTACATGTATTAAAATCTACTTGTTTTTTAATTTTAAAAGGGTAAGGATAACTTAATTGTAAACAAAGCATTTTTATGGTAAACTAAATAGTTTTAGAGTTATCACATTTATATTTTCATTTGTAAATTGACTAATTCATTTAACAAAGTGGTGGTTTGCATTTTCTTAGGCCTCTGGTTATTTTATGAGCTGCACTTTGTTGAGAATGATGTTTGGACTTCTGAACAATGACTGCATGGTTAATTGTGAATAAGATGAAGAGAAGAAATACTTTCAGGTGATCTAACACTAAATTGCAAGGTTTAGGTGGGCAGAATGCTTGCATGATTACTGAAAAAATGCTCTTAAAAATTCAGTGACTTGTTCCTGGAAATAACAAGGCACCAGCTAAGAGCAGCTCCAGCTGCAATCCAAATAGTGTGATATTTTCATGTGAGAAGTGCTAAATGATTCTTTAGTGATCTTTCAAGCAAACCACAGAGGAAATTCACAAACTACTGCAACAGACTTGCTTGTATTGACACTTGTGTACACAATTAAATAGGCTTTTCTCTATGTGTCTCTATTAAAGGGTTGCATTTACAAAAGAAAAATATCCTCTACAACTAACTGTAGGAACAAAGAATAAAGAAACAGAAGTTGCTGTTTTGTTTCTCAATACATTTTTACTATGCTGTAACTCTGTACTAATAGTCAGCTATATAAATAAGTGATTAGTGAGAAGAATTGACACAATTTACTCATTTCCTTATAAATAAATGAATATTACCAAGCTGATTATTTCTGGAAGTAAGTAATACATTTTTTCTGTGTGATACTAAAGGACCACTAAATAAGCTACTGCTAAATATACTACATTATATTTAATCATCTTTAACAAAAATATAAGTCTTTCATGATGGTACTCCAACTTCTGAGTAGCTATGCCATTGCACTTTGTAACAAAATGGAGTTCTATCATAAATATTCAATGTTTATTTCACATTGACTAGAGATTGAGACTAAGTGCAATGTCTGAAAAGATTTTTCAAAGAAAACTGGCTGTATCTTGAGTATGTGCTCTCTCTTATGGCATTTTCCTCAGAGACTGAGTAAAGTTTCTAATTGCTTATTTACTGTTAGGATGGTTGACCATTGTTTTGAATTGACATCCTGCTGGGCTAATATGGAGCCCAAGTTCTACTTGAGTTACATGTTCAGGACTACTTTTTGTGATCTTGAGACTAGTGTATAATGATGGCTAGAACTAAACGCTTACCCCATGCCTGCCAGACTATTAACAGAATAGATATAAAGGAGGAAGTGGTCTATGAACAAGTGCCAGTGGTTTTTAGACTCATACTAAAAGGCAGTGAAATGTTGTGGAGGTGTACTGAAGCAAAATGTCAATTTTGGGAACTGAATGCTTTAAAAGTGGAACTAGATCTATGCAGCATTGTATTGCGGGTATCTGTGAGCTTGATTTATAATCCATTCTCAAAAGACTCTCAATTTCTTGGAATTTTTCTCAATTTTTGTAATAATTCCTTAAAAAAAATCATTATAGTAGACATGTCCTTATTAGTTTAATGTCTCTAATCATCTTCCAAAAACCTCACATCTTCAAAACATGGCTTCTGCTGGGAGACTTGAAATCAGTTTCTGGATTTACTGTACAGGCTACTTGCTACTAGGAATTTGAGAAATTCATGGGAGGTGTCTGACCAGGAACCCAAGAAATGGAATTTTAGGTGTGGTTAGCAAATGACTTAAAACTGCTTTAGTAGACCTCCCTGGAGACAGAAAAATATTGTCTATAGGTCTAATGGGCTCAAAACCACACAGTATTTTCCTTTCCGTAGTGGACTTTTCTCGCTGCTCCAGAATGAGTGTACAGCAGGAGAGAGAGTTTCCGGAATTCATATGTCAATTTCATAATTGTGAGTGGGTAAAAACTCTGCTTCTGCATTCCTACAGAAAACCACTAAAATGCGTCATCCTCTAGGGAACAATAAAGTGTGATACAGGCTCCGAATCAATACAGGCTTGATCATTTCCTTGGATCAGGTTCCTGAGGAAATGATTGATCATGAAGAATGATTAGTCTTAGACTTGAGAAGACCTTAAATAGGCTTTAACTTTATTATGGTGCCCCATAATCCCCTCAAATTTTTGTGGCTGAGGTGGACCACTTGATTGATGCAGATGCCATTCAGGAGAATTACAGATGAATGAACCTAAACCCCAGATCTGCAGAAGACTTGAGGAGGAAGGGATGAGGCAAGGCTGACTCAGCCTCTTGAAGTGGGATACTCTAAAGTGAGGTTTCTGCCCTAAGGAGCCTCTGTCTTGCCAGGGGAGAGCCAAGTTGGGGGAGTGTCCCTCTTTATTTAACTCCCACAGTATGATTTTTCAGCTGGCTAGCTCTCTACACTTTATAGTAACCAGGATAGGAGGGAAGTTTTTCTAGGCCACTTCTGATTCCCCAAAACTCTGTTACTCAGCTTCCGTTATGTCAGTGCAGGTCATTTAGCAGTCAACTGCCTATAATAGAATTCTGTAAAATTACCTTTATCCTCATGTTATGAAAACAAGGATCCCAGGTGGGTGAGTAGATGGACATTAAAAATCCTAACGCTGATTCATTTCCTTTCTGATTTTCTAGGATAAGCTTAGGCAGATACTGGTATGATACACTTTCCAGTGCCTGATGGGAAGCCTGTCTGACTTGAGTGAAGAAGGAGAAAAGCATGTTGGAGTGTGACAAGTGGTGGTGGTGAGTCCTACAAACACATATGGCATTCTCCTCTTGGTCGTGGTGCAAAAAGATCTGATAGGGGAAAGGGTAACAGAAAAGTAGAATTACTTTGCAAGTATCCAGAGCCTCCTTCACCCCTTTGTTTTCTTCGAAAGAGAAAAAATAAAGTCATATTGGTTGGATCTTGTTTTCTCTGCAGAATTTGAGTGATGGGAACATTCTTATGAGAAAAGCAATCAAAGCACAGGGTGAGAATAAACTTGACAGAGGGCTGCATGCAGCAGGGAAAGTCTCTGTAGGCAGCCAGACAGAGCTGCTGGTGAGGGACTGGTAGGAGGGTCTCTCCTCTGAAAGGAAGAAGATGAGAGAGAAAGGGTGGCAGTGGGAGGACCATGTTCAAGGACTAAGTTGAAAATTCTAAAAGGATGAGAAGCAAGAAAATGCTCAAAAAAAAAAAAGTTAAATCATGTGGCTTGTATTAAGAACACACCATCCATTTTTAGGCATTTTCCCCCACCAAGAGACTTAGCAAAGATTCCAAATGCTTTTATTTACTATTTGAGAAAAGGCCATTTGGGGACAGGGACTGAATTATGTTTAGGTTACAATTAAATAGTATATTGATTTGGAATATATGTATTTATTAGCCTGAGTTACTTCTTTTAGCTCTTTCTTCACTTTATATTTTGATAATACACTTTCCTAAGTAGCAATAAATCTGAAAAATATTTTAAAAATGTATTTTTAAATCAACAAAAAAATTAAGTTCTAGCTGGGTATTACAAGGCTTCCGGCCAAGTACAGTAATTGTTACTTGTGGAATTTTCTTAGAATGGCCAAGGCATTTGACTCAATAACTATAACTCTGGAATGAGTAGCTGGGTGGAGACATTAGTCTGTTGGAAATTTGGTGGGTTAGTTCAAGCCCATATGCTGGAAGAAAAGATTTATCGATGGATTTGCTCAGCAGATCCAAGAAACACATGGTGTATGTTTTCTTCAAATCGAACACTGAATTTCATTAACCTGTGCTATTGGCTCCCCTCTTCTCTTAACAGATTGCTTCTTTTTTCTACTCTTTTTGACTTTTTTGTTTTTTATACCATAGTAACCTGTTTACTAAATTAAACTCTTTGTGATATATAAGTACAAAGACCACACTTAGGTCATGTTAAGAAGAGGGAGTTCAATTACTTAAGAATACATGTAGACTGGAAACAACCACAAAGTTTGAGGAGCTGGAGCAAACTAGGGACCAGAGGACACTACCTCACTGTTCAGCCAAGCAACACAGAAAGCATGGTTCCCAGCCACGATGTCCAGATCCAGACTTTGACATTCTTCTCTCACGGAATGTGAGTTGAAACTGAATTTCCTTGTTGTTCTATTCCAGTTGGCAAGGTGTAAAACGAATTTATAGAAATTTAGAATATAAATGTAAGCAAATAAATTGCAAATGGTACACCCTAAAGTGCAAAAGTTAATTCAAAAACTTTTATCTGTGAAGTATTTGTTATGGATGTGCAGAGAACAATTAAGGAACAATTTTAAATTTTGAATAGCTTTTCACTGCTGCACATTTATTAGGTCCTAAAGGTGATTAACATATCTTTAGTTTCCTCTCCCTTTTTATTTCAGTTCACTGACCATATTTGTACATAATTAATATTTACTTTTAAAACTCAAACCATTAACACAAACAATTAAAAAGTGTAAAGTTTTTCTCCTCTTTGATTTGTTCCTGTGTTAAAAATGCTAAACCATGAGATGCAGTTGTGCGGATCTCACCTGAGAATTGGCACACATGTGGCTCCGTTTGCAGCGGGCCTGCTGCTGTACAGGACTCGTGCGCCTCACAGCTCTCACCCGTTCTGTTTTTCCCTTGCATGTAAGTCACTTAAAAATTCATTATTTCAGAAAATCACTGTACGTTTTCAGGGTATAATTTGCCTTCTTTGTCAGTTAATGTGAATAAAAAGATCACTATATTTTCTAAGAGACAGGTTAAAAAGCTAGTCAAGGAGGTAATATTCCTCTGTTATACCTATAGTATCTGAAAAATTAACCTACCCCTTCTGCTGAGACACAGGAAACTTCACCCCAAAACTTCTTTAAATGAATTTAAACATTGTTCAAAAGGTCATTTATAGAACCTTTCAGTTCACACATCCCTAGAAGTTAATTGGCTTTGCTTAGAATTCAGTCCTTGACCACACAGAGAGGGAAGTTCAAAAAGCAGTAGAGTCCCAACTCACTGGAAGTTAGCTGGGGAAACATTGTGCTTCAGCTGATTTTAGACTCGGGATGTAGCTCATTAACATTTTGTAAATATGAAGCATCCAAGAACCACATTTATTACGAATCCAAGAATAAGTGAGGTCACCTGTTTCAAACTTGCTAGAAATTTGCTTTGGGATTTTATGGGGAATGTGGCCCCCCTTGTGTGACTTCCTGAACTGCAGGGGTAGAAAAGCTAAAATCTACACCTCTCAAGGTCTGCTGAAGTTAAGGGTAAAGGATTAGGTTCTACAGTCAGATGGGATGCACAAAATTGGAAACTTAGGTTAAAGCAGAGGTTCCACTTGTTTGGTTTCTGCTGATTTTGCTGGTAAGTATGAACTGTGCAGGAATTAGGATTGATTCCCTGCTGCCGAGGAGTCCCCCACATCTCTTCAGCAGCTTTGCAGGGCTAGGGTCTAGTACTGAGCCTAGGAGGGGCAGGATGGCTCTAGAGCTAACAACTACACATACAGCTATGTTAACTGTTCTGAGAGCAACGTTTCCAGGGACAGCTTCCAGATTTCCAGCTTCCCTCAATGTGGTCAAGGTAGCAGCTCCCTTAGTGGGCCAGAATCATTCTGAAATTATTTCTGGACTCCAATTCTCCATCTCTCTCGATGATTTTTAAAAGGACCTAATTCTTGAGTTAAATTACTTCCTGCTTGAACTAGAGTATTTTCTGTTATCTGTGACCAAATCTTGATTGATAATAGTGTTTGAGACAGTGGGTTATATACTTAACCTACTTGGGTTTGAGGGAAGTGAGGATTGGCCTACCATCAAATAATGGAATAATAGTAATCTATGGTGGCTAGTGGTGAAATAGTTACATAAATCGTTACCTGTATTCACCTGCGCTGAAGTGCCTAGAGAACATAGCTTTGATAGCTGAGTGATAAGCTGGCACAGTATGAAGACATATGGATAGGGATAAACTGGCTGCTGCAGACTGCAGTGGAAAGATTAAAAAGAGAAATAAAGAATTCAAGGCTTTAAATTATCCACTCCATGTGGTTAGAGAACCAGGGAATTTTTAGCTTTAAAAGAATCCTCTTTCTTGTGGCTGTTGGTTGCCAGAAATCGGAGTCTGACGCTATGGCTTGTTAAATTACAACATAGGTTGAATTCAAAGATTTGCCAGGTTTCTTACAGGAAAATGCATACATATCTTGGGAAAGAGTAAGATGCTGGGATTTGGTGAGATGATCCTTGGAAGGATTTGGAAAATTCTGCTTACCTCAAAACTAAGCCCACTGACTTTCAAGTGACAGCAAATATTGCCCCTCTGTCCTGTGTTCTGATCTTTCCTTGCTTTAAAAAGCTGTGGCGACCTTTGTTGAAGTTGTCACCTTACCTGGGGATACTAATGTTCCATACCACTTAAAGCATTTCTTCCAGACCTATAAGTAGAATCTGATAACACAGAAACCCAGTTACAAAGCCATACATGAAAGGAAAATACGTTGCTCTTCAAAACACTGCAAAATTTTTACTTAAAAGAACTAAAGGAATATGCTGATTCTCACAAGAGCCTCATTGTACAGAAAAAGCTGGCCTCATAGAAGAGTGATATGGCTTATTGAAGACAGTACTTGTGATGCTAGCTAGAAGTGAACTCCTTGTAAATTGGGGTCCACATAGAAGATGAAATCTGTTCTCAACCAGTGACTAGTGTATATATGGGTCTGGACAGGAAGAGGTGCAGTTGGGAATAGCACTGTTCATGGTATGCTGACCACAGTCTTGCCAAACTTGCTTCTACCTTACTAAGACTAGGGTTATAAAGCTCTCATTGGCCAGGACTAAGTTCCATGTCAACCCTCAGTAATCAGGCATCAAGTCCACACAAAACAAATGGTTTGAGAAGAGGTCAGATAGTAGTTTTCCAAAGGAATATCTGAATATGCTTGCCAGAAGAAGGGAAGGGAATTCTGGATACCAAAACAACAACTGCCATGTCATCTAGGAAGCCATTGCCCCATGTATCCCTTATACCTTCATAAACCCTGAAAATCTACCGCAAGCAAATCATTGCTGTTGTTTAAAATTTGCTCTTTTAAAAGTGGCAAACACTTTCTACTTAGGGTATTATCCTCATTGTAAAAATGAGAGATTAAGTAATCTGTGTGAAGTGGTAGAAATGAGACTTCATACAGAGCTGTTTGACCACAAAGCCCCTACTCTCAAAGAAAACAAAGTAAGTAAATCATGTACATGCTGTAAAATTTAAAAGGTGCAGTTAAGGAATCTGTAGTGAAAAATAAATTTCCCTTTCACCTCTGCCTCTTCGATACCAATTTACCTGGGGTAACTGTTAGCAATTTCTTGCGTATACTTTACGTATATATGTACATAGGTATACAAGTATACACAAATATTTATCCTAAAAACACAAAAAGATAGTATCATAAGATTGTTTTATGCTTTAAAAAATATATATCCATGTACCTATCATGGTGACCATTGCATATTAGTACAAGCAGTGTGGCCTTACTGGTTTTGCTAATATCTACACAGTACTTATTGTCTATATAGAGCTTTATTTGTGTAATGATCCTTAACTTACTCATCTTAAAGTTCTTTCCAATATTTTGCTTTTATTTAAAAAATGCTGCAATGAGTATCCTTGTATAGATAGCTTTTTGCTTATATTTGAATATATATGCAGGATATAGTACTGAAAAGAGGGTTTTTGAATAAAAGGGTATGTGTGTTTTTAATTTGTTAGTCACTGTCAAATTGCCTTCCAAAAGGATGACTTCCTCCTGCCAAGAGGAAGATTTTCACTCCTGTCAGCAGTATATGAAAGCACCTATTTTCTTGTAGTATCCTACTCAACTCAGGGTGTAGTCAAGCATTTTGATCTTAATCAATCTGATGAATAGAAATGGTAATTTTTCTTATAGGTTTAATTTGAATTTCTTCTATTATGAATGATTTTGAACGTCTTTTCATAAGTCTAAAAGTAATTTGTATTTCCAGTCTTGTTAAGTGTTTATAACCTTTATCTCCTGAGTTGTTAGTCCTTTCAATTTGATTTATGGTAGTTAATTATAGATTAATGAAATAAGCTTTATTTTCTTCTGTGTTACCAGTATCCTCATTTGTTTACAGTACTATTATTCTAGGCAGAATCTTATTTTCAGTTCTTAGATCATTTCTAGAGCTGTATTTTAAAATATGGAAGTCTTTTTGGTGTAAAAAGTGAGAGTGGGATCCCACTTTCCTTTCTTTTCTAGATAACAAAAGTTCCCATTTCAACAACTATGTTATGTTGCTTTCTTGAGAAGATTCTCAAAGATAACATCTTAACAGTTCTATCTACCTTGTGCCCCTCACAGTCCAGCAATTTATCAGTGCCTTTCAAATTGCTTCCTCAGAGTTAGACGTTGTTTTATTTTTTTATTATTTATTTAGTTATTATTTTTATTGAGAAATAATTGACAAGTAACCTTGTGCAAGTTTAAGGTGTACAACATGTTGATTTCATATGCTGTACACCTTAAACTTGCACAGTGTCACATGTCATTTGTATATTGCATAAATGATTCAGAGAGGTGAAGTCATTGCCAATGTCACACAGGCAGTAAGTGCAGAAGCAGAGGTTGGACAGCTCTACCATGCTGACTGACAGAAAGGATGAAGACTGGCAGGGTGGTTGGGACTTCAGAGGTCAGAGACCTCAGAGACCTCAGAAGTGAGCAGGCCAGGATGGAAGGAGGATGAGAAGACAAAGAGAGCCCTGCCACTAAGGTGACTTGGAAATTTGTCCTCGTAGCCAGCTCTCTTTCCCACCCCGGGGGCAACCCCAGTGTAGACGATAGAGCTGGGGTGAGGCAGAGGTACAGCAGGACTTAATGTGGTGAATTCCCTCCCCTAAGCCACTAAAATAGCTCATTTAAAAGAACAAATGGACTGAGTGGTCAGAGAGAATGCAAGATCCCACCATTCCCAGCAATTAAGCAGCCCGTGGGCTTCATCCAGGTCCACAAGGAGGTAGAGAGACACACAGGAAAGGCTGGCTCCTACATCTGCTAAGACATGCAAGCACTCGGACCCACAGTGCAGCCCCTGACACAGACTCTTTCAAACATAGATCAGGCTGGGGTCTCGCTGCTACAACCCATGGGAGAGGGATGGAACCAGAGGCAGGGATTAGTCTGAGATGGCTTGGAGCTCCCAGAAATCTGTCGTCTGTCAATCTGCTGGGTATTTTCCCTGAGGCTTAGCTGGTCTTGAGCACTCCTGCCAAGGAATGGCTCAGGCAGCCAGTGACCACATGGAAAACCTTGCCTGTTGTTTTGATACTGATGGCTCTCATGAAGATGGCAACTATTCAAGGAGATTGTACACACTTCTGAGATTTTATGTACCTAATCTTTTAAAAATAAGCCCTAGATTTTCTAAAGCATGGTATAGCACCTAGTGTGAACTTGGTTAAGTTCATGAAAGTAACCAAAAAAATAGTGTAGGCCTCTGAGTGTAAACACATGAACAGATTTCTAAGAGAACTTACTTAAACCTCCTGAAATCTGTATCTTTTCACAGGTAACTATATATTATTATTTTAAGAACTTGATTATTATTAGATCGTTAAGTGTGTCTAACAACAAGATTTTTCTGGGACTAAAATGAAATAAATAAGTAGACAAATTGCCTTAATATTGGTTAATAACAAGATCTCTTAGAAAATGTATATAGTATTGGGTACTCAGCCTAATAATCCAGGTGTACTTTTTATAGTAAGAATTCATAATACTTTCTGGATTCTTACCAGATGCAATAAAAAATTAACTAACTTTATAACACCACCTTTCTGCCCAAAAGTGAAAAATAGAAAATAAGGAAAGTAGTGACTGTTGCTATTAACAGAAAGTGACATTTGTGTTTCAATTTGGTAAAATAATTTATGTGATTAAGGAGAAGTGAGGCATGTTGGAGGCAGTACAGGGTAGGAGTCAGACACAGTGCCAATTCTGTCTCTGCTTCGTATTTAGGGATAGTTACTTTACATCTCTGAGCTCCCTCAGCCTTTTATTTTGTAAAAAGGGGTAATAAAAACTATCTTAGAAGATAGTTGAGAGGATAATGGCACATAGCAGTCATTCAAAAATGATTTTGTTCACTATTATTAATAATATGGAAAGTAAATTGTCAACCAAGAAAAAAATGTGCTTCCTTTGAATCTAAGAGAATTAGGTTCCCAAACTAAAGCTTGTTACAGTTACTAAATGTAAATTAAACCACCATTTCTTTGGATTGTAGACCTTTTTTATATCTAGTAGGACAGAAACAGTTTGGAACTTGTAGGTGACTTTATAGTATAAAAATCAATGCCTTTTGAGTGGAAATATTACTCCCCTAAATTTGGAAACATTGTGTGTCCCTGAGCAAGTCTCCCAGCTACTGTCTGCCACAGTGTTATTATTTCTAAAATACTTGTGATGAGGAGCCACTTTCAGGCTAAAATTAAAGGACATAATGGTTTTGTTTTGGAAAAAACTGATTCATCAATATTTTTTCCCATGTCTATAAAAAGTATTTGAAAATGAAACAAAACAAAGTAGTAAAAATTTTGGTATGTACTTTTTCCTTGGATAATGAGGAACTCATTCAAGTCCTCTTGAAAAAGATTCTTTTGTGCTCTGGTCAAGGTGGCCTACTTTGTTTTTGTGTTGAAGGGCTTTGAAATTAGAAGTTATTTGTATTTTCCCAGGGAGTGTCTGCTTTGGGAAGAAAGAAAATTATATGCCTTAAGGACATGGTTGGCCAATTTATTGTTGTTTATGTCTGTACTAGGCCTAAAAGGAAATGCATAGAATCCAAGTTTGTTTTTTTCCCCTAAGATACATAGTGTCCCATTTTGTGTGTGTGTGTGTGATGGAATAATATTTTTTCCCTTGTTTTAGTATTCAGATGTGAATTATTTGAGATCACAGTCTGAACCAAACCACATTTATTTGTAAGAAATAGAGGGAAAAGAACATATCAGAAATCTTTCCCTTACAAGAAAGTTTTAGTAAAAATGTTTTCCCTCTTCTGCAAGATTGCTTAAATGCATTTTAATTCCTCTGAAGTGTTCATTTTGAAAAACTGTCTACAAAAATAAATTATTCCCTCTGAAATGATTTTGTATTCATATGGACTTGTTCTTGTGTCCTGGATGGGAAATGAGTAGCTCAGTCACCTGGGATATTATGTAGCTTGGGACTGTCAAAAGGAATGTGTAACCACAGTTGTCCTTAGATCAAAAGGAGTTTGCAGTAGACACACAGAATAAATTGATTTGTAAAATACAAGATGGAATTTACAAAAGGAATCTTTTTTGACTCTGCCGGTGTTGGCAGAATGATTTCATTCATTTGTGCTCGGTGCCCTCTCCTGGTCACTGTGAGTAATGTTCAGGAGCTTATTCATTTTCTACATCTGCTTCGGTATGAAACATGATAAGTTTCATACATGTACTTCATACATGTACTCCAAGCTGGGCTTCCTATATGAGGAAAGAAATCTGAAGAGAAGTGACTCTTAACTTTACAAGAGTCGGAGTTCTCACTTCCCTCCCTCACCCTAGTACCTTGATCATCAAGCAATATTTGATTAGCCTTGTATGGTAGGGTAACTTTTATTTGTTACCTGGCCTGCACTTCTCTTTTTCTTATGAATTCACCATCAATCCAAGGGAATCCTGCATCTGACCTGTTTGTACATGACAGGAGTGAGGTGTGGAACAGATGAGAAAAGAAATATTCTTCTCCTCTCCGACGCTCATTCATATAGTAGCAGCATTTATGTAAGCCCCAGGGAAAGGGAGCAGCCCAGTCTGATTGAGTGTTGAAACCTAAATAGCAATGAAGTCACTGAATTTTACTTTAAATTTTTGCATCAGGTAGAATGGAGGGGTCTCAGAATGGGAAATTATGTGAAATTTACTACTGAAAAATTGTATCACTATACCTGTTTAAAACCTGTGATTGAATTAGGAACTTTTCTGCCTGATAACTTCAACAGAAAAACACAGTTTTCGATCAGAGAGCTTAGCATATCAGAGTTGAGAGTGACTGCAGATGTCACCTAACCTAGTTTCTAGTCTAAGACAGACTTTCAATCTCTTCTGCAAGAAGAGGTAACTGTGTTTCCCCAGACAAAGAATGGGCTTGCTTACTGTTTTTTTTAAAAGCAGTAGATTCCACCAAGTTCAGTGTTCTTTAGCTGTGATGCAAACCCACTGTATGTATTAAATCCATCTGAGCATTTTGGGTCATGTTGGTGGGACTTGGGGACCGGAGAACTGATGTGAATATGCTGATACTCATACTGCTTGCTGTGCCATGAGTAATAGAGTTCTGTGTTTCTGATCCAGGAGTCTGCATCTTCAGCCAGCACCCAGTACCAGTAACAGGCTTATCTGTAAGTAGAACAAAATCAAATCCCAGACCTGACAGTAGCCTCCCATCCAGTTGAAAATATTTTTTTCACTGTAGCATTCTATAATTAATATTTTTACCTTCTTAATGTGTTAGAAATGAGGTCAATTCCAAAACTTAATTCATTTATCTTATTCATCTTTCCCACTGTGATGATAAGCTATTTATAGAAATCAATAAATTTAAAAATATTCAGACTATGTTGCTGGCAAAAAACAGATACACAGATTGATAGAACAGAACAGAGAGCCCAGAAATAAACCTGCAAACTTACAGTGAATTAATCTACAGCAAAGGAAGCAAGAATATACAATGGAGAAAAGACAGTCTTTCAGTGAGTGGTGCTGGGAAAACTGGAAAGCTACATGTAAAAGAACAAGATTAGAACATTTTCTCACAACACATACAAAAATAAACTCAAAGTGAATTAAAGACCTAAATATAGTACCTGAAACCTTAAAACTCCTAGAGGAGAACATAGAATACTCTGTGACATAAATCATAGTAATATTTTTTTGAATCAGTCTCCTGAGGCAAAAGAAACAAAAGCAAAAATAAATGGACCTAATAAAACTTAAAAGCTTTGCACAGCAAAGGAAATCAAAAACAAAATGAAAACACAACCTACTGAATGGGAGAAAATATTTGCCAATGTTATGACTGATAAGGAGTTAATATGCAGAATATATAAGCAGCTCATACAACTCAATATTAAAAAAAACAATTAAAAAAATGGGCAGAAGACCTGAATAGACATATTTCCAAAGAAAATGTAAGATGGCCAACAGGCACATGAAAAGATACTCAAATCACTAATCATCAGAAATGCAAATCAAAACCACAATGAGATACCACTTCATTCCTGTCATGATGGCTATCATCAAAAAGTCTACAAATAGCAAATGTTGGCAAGGATGTGGAGAAAAGGGAACCCTCATACATTGCTGGTGGGAATGTAATCTGGTACAGCTACTATGGAAAACAATATGGAGATTCCTCAAGAAACTAAAAATAGAACTACCATATAATCTAGCAATTCCTCTCCTTGGAATTTCAATTCCAAGAAAGTGAAAACACTAATTTGAAAAGATGCATGTACCCCAGTGTTTATAGCAGCATTATTTACAGTTGCCAAGATATGAAAGCAACTTTAGTGTCCATCAACAGAGATGAATGGATAAGGAGGGGGTACATATATATAATTGAATATTATTCGGCCATAAAAAAAATGGAAGTCTGCCATTTGCAGAAATGTGAGTGGACCTAGAGAGTATTATGCTTAGTGAAATAAGTCAGACAGAGAAAGACAAATACTGTATATCACTTATATATAGAATCTGAAAAAAATTAATATAACAAAATAGAAGCCTACTTACAGATATAGACAACAAACTAGTGGGTACCAGTGGTGAGAGGGAAGGGAGAGGGGCAAGATAGGGTAGAGGATTAAAAGATACAAACCACCATGTACAAAATAAATAAGCAACAAGGATATAGTATATAGCAAAGGGAAATACAACCATTGTTTTATAATAACTTTAAGTGGAGTATAATCTATAAAAATATTGTATCACTATGTTGTACACCTGAAACTAATATAATACTGTAAATGAACTATACTTCAATATAAAAATTTTTAAAAAATATTTGGGATATAAAAATGTGTTACTCCTATTAATCTCTTATGAAGAGAAAGTATCTCTCTTTTCAGAAAGCAAAACTTCAGCAAAATTTTAATGAGGCATGCTATACACTTCATTCCCCTAAAGAAGAAAATAGCTTAAATCCAGCACAGATTTGATAACTGTCTGTGTTCCTCACCAAAATTTTGAAAGGAAGGAATATATGTATTCAGTCACCACAGATAACCTGCCACACTGCTCCTGGTACATAGAAAGTGTTCAATTAATATTTTAAATGAATTAATAGATAGGAATACTCTAAATTTTGTTAACTCTGTGATGATGAGCCCAAGATCATGTCTCTAAATGCCATAAAAAAAAGACTCCCAGGAGTAAATGACGAATGATGGCTGGAATGGTTGTGGGAAAGGGCTCATTACTTTAAGACTGATTTTGTTTTATTTGGATACATACTTTCCCAGTGATCTTTTTTTTCCCCATTAAAAAAATGAATTAGAAGCCTAAGTATAATTATATCTGAAGTTAAAAGCAGAAAACAGAAGAAAAAACATGCTGTTTATTATGGAAAATTTCAAACATACATAAAGATAGAATAGTATAATAAGCCTCCAGGTACCCACCAGTTTCAACAGTTACCAAACATGGCCTGTCTCATTTCATTTATAGCCCCTACCCCTCCACTCCTCTACTAGATTCTTTTGAAACAGATCATGAGAGAATGTCAGTTTATCTAGAAATACTTGAGAACTAACACAGTTTTAAATGAAGAGAATAAAAATTTCCAGAAATGATTGATGATTATCATGAACTTAATATTTCTAGTTAAAGTGAAACATGACCAGAAGTGGTATTTCATACTAAAAAGTACTTTTATTTCTTTAGTATGGTCAGCTAATCTCTGCTGAAGCAGAGAGAGATTTTAAGGCTCTCTTTACTTTTTTTTTTTTTTTTTTTTGCTTTTAATTTTTATCACTGAATTTAGAATGTATTGATGATTAAACTAGATTCAGGCTACTAATGGAAACAAATAAGACCATTTGAAGTCTAAATAAAGTTTTCCATCAGAAGTAAGAATATTTTCCAGTTACTACCAGTTTGGGGGTAGAATTGTTAATACTTGATTTATATAATAGGAAGTCTAAAAGTAATTATTTATCTCTGTTAAAATAGCCATATTGATTTTTTTCACAACTCCTGATATTATAACTTGGCAATGGAAACAACTTTTGAGAGTTAATGTTAGTGTGCATATGTATTTGCAAGTTTGCATATACACACAATGAAAATGCCTTAGAATTGAGAGAAAATTCTGTAGTTTGTTGGCTTATATTCAGTCAGTAAACACAGATTTAGCCTTATTTGCTAAAATATTAAAACACTTGTAGGTGAATAGCAGCTGTTCTAAGCCTCTTGACTGTGTTCTGCCTGCATAGGCCACCTGGATCTCCCCATGATCCAGCAACTAAAAGGTTAAAATATAGCCCAGCAGAGAACCTGGAGGACCCAGCTCTACCATTAGGCAGCCCTCACTCTAACTGATAGGTGCCTTTACTGATTGTTAAACATGATGAAAAACTGCTTAAGTTTAGAAGATGGTAATAGAACTGATTCAGGGAATAGATAAAAAGTGGAACAAATAGTGACAGGAACATAAGGAATAGTCCCAGAAAAGCAGGATGGAGATAAAAAGAAAATGCGGCTAAGAGTTCCCTATGTACATAAAAGAAACAGAACTGATGCAGTGTTTCAAAGCTAGAAGACTAGGTGAGAAATAGATATAAAGACAATAAAAAATCACAATAGGATTATATAGAGAGTGCCTGTGCTGAACACTACAAAGCAAATAAATGAAAACCAGGTTGACTTTGGTGATAAAGGATGTTGCTGGTGGGCACTGTATAAAAAAAAAAAGTTCCTGTAATATACCATGAATTTGCTATGAATAGAATAGAAGCTCTATTAACTTATGACTATTTCACCATCTTGCCATAGTAACCAGTGTTTTCCATTCCTCTCCATAAAGCACACTGATCAGTGCCCACAGTTTGCTGAATGTAGACAGTCATCAGGTTTTTCTCCAGTCAGCTGAGCTCCTACCAGTGGAGGTATGTTTACCCATGTAATAGTCAGTTGTGGTTGTTCCTAAACCTGTTTGTGTCAGTTGTACTTGTAATTTCAAATATATAAATTATTATATAAATTTAATGAAATATGAGTGAAAAGGGGGAAAGTAGTTGTTTCTATGAAAATTAAGTTAAAAGATTTGATAGAGATGTCACTAAAAATTGCTGTTGAATTACATGTAGACCATTAGTGTAGAAAACTGGGAGAGGGGAGATTCATTTTACCCTAAAAGGATTTTATACTCACATTGCTTTACAAGTAACTTCAAAATCTCAATCCACCTTAAAGAAATAAAAAATTAGAGATTATAGATAATGCATGATGAAGTGGTTTATTTAAAAAAAACAGCATATGTTTAATCATTTAATCTATTGGCTGTACATAAAAAGATTGTGAATAAATGTGCATTCTTTTGCACATTGGTGAATAAATGTGTATTTTTAGGTTGAAATAAAAAGTTAAAGATGTGTATAATTTTTCATAAATAAGCACAGGAACTGATTTTTTGATTAATGACCAACTTTTGACTCAGATTGCATCAGGATTTCTGCCATATGTGACTATTAGAACCAATTAAAAGCTTAAAATTTAAGTATGAATTCTGTTATTTTCATAAATATTCTATATAGAGCTATTTATAAGACTAAGGGAATGGAATGAAAGACATAACAAACTTTTCCTTGTGTCTCCCTTTCATGTATGTTTTTCACATTTGAAGAAGAGTTAGAATAAGGATCTAATTCTCTTGCCTTCCCCTATGTGAGAGAAAGTGTGAGAAGGTGAAATGATTCAACAAAGCATCACTATGTGTGTTTACTTGTTCCAGGAGATTCTTGTGCACAACGCAGCAGCATCAGTTGCTCAGAGAGGGGAGCAACCCTAGGGTTCCAGCTCTGACTCTGGGAGGTTGGAGGCATCTGCATCACCCTGAGGCACTAGGCTCTCCCTAGAGAATTCTGCGTTAGGGATGACTGCTGACACTTAGGAATGTGTCGTGCAATGAGAGGAGGGGTTGAAAAATATACACCAAGATTCAAATCTGCAACAAAATGTGGTTTCTTTATTTTCTAAAACTGATCTCATCCTGCCTTGGAACCCCTGTTTTTGCTGATGGCAGAAAAATAATTGCACTTGCCAGTTATATATAAATTATTCTCTTAAAATTCTAATTTATTACAAGTGTTAATTTTTACTTTCAAGATTTTTACTCCTTTTTTCTTGCTCAAACTGGCATCTGGATTTAAAAGGAAGCTAATGTATCCTTAGAGTTTTGGAGGAGGACAGTCTCTTTCTCACTAGTCTTTGATGAGTTGCATTCATTTTGCCTTTTTCTTTGGAGGGCTGTGCATTGAGAGGACTGATAAAAAAAGAAAGTAAATGAACTGGGATTTTCTTAGAACAATAGCTTAGATGACTATATACTTTATTTTCAAAACTATTTTTAAGAGTAAAAGGGAGTACATCATTAATTAGCTCAAAACAATGGGCATTAGCCAGGAGTGTCCCAGTCAGACTAGAATATATCGTTATCCTCTAATGCCACAGAAGTTATGCTCTGAGAGGTGGTCAACACCAGCAAGAAAAAGATTTCATCTATAAGATGCTCTAAAGCTTAAGAAACATGATACCCACTCTTAGTATGCTTAATAATGCCTTGCAGTTTCTCTAAAATGGAGCTAGGAGGAGTGCAGATTAGATACTGTGGAGGAAAAGATTAATGAACTTTAAGGCATAGCAATAGAAACAATCCAAAATTAAACACAGAGAGAAAAATAACTTAAAAAATATATAGAGTGAGCAAAGAAGAGCTATGAGCAATCTTCAAGCAGCTTAATATGCACATAATTGGGAGTGCTTGAAGGAGGAAAGACAAAAAAAAAATTGAAGAAATAATGCCTGAAAATTGTCAAATTTGGTGAGAACTGTAAATGTACAGGTCCAAGAAATTCAAACCAAACTACAAAAAAAATTTTAAGAGTCAGAGAGAAAAAGAAACCTTTCCTACCAAGGAACAAAGATAAAAATGATACCAGATTTTTAATGAAATAATACAAGTGAGGATATACAGTGAAATGTCTTTCAAGTACTGAAAGAAAAAAAACCTGTCAATTTAGAATTCTATACCTAATCAAAGTAGTTTTCAAAAACTGAGGGCAGAATGCTTCCTAAGACATAAAAAAAAGCTTAAAGACTTCATCACCAATAGACCTACATTATATACAATTTTAAAGGGAGTCTCTAAGCAAGAAAGAAAATAACAGTAGTAGGAATATGAATATACACAAATGAAGAGCACCAGGAAATTGCAAATATATATGGGCAAATTTGTACATTTTTTTCTTTTTTCTTTTTTTTTTGTTAGTTGGTCAATGGATGGTTAGATTTTTTTTAATGTATTTTTTTATTGATTTATAATCATTTTACAATGTTGTGTCAAATTCCAGTGTAGAGCACAATTTTTCAATTATACATAAATGTATATATATTCATGTATTTTTCTTATTATTTAAGTCTTTTTAAAAGATAATGGCTATTTAAAAAATAATGTGGGTAAGAAAAAATGTATGAAAATAATTGTATAAAACCCCTGAGAGAAAAGTGAAGTATATTATTAGTATAAGATTATTAAACTGTGCACAAAGTGGTATATCACTTGTCAGTAGACTGTGGTAAGTAAAAGATATGTACTGTAAATCCAAAACCACTAAAACAGCAAAACAAAAAGTCATAAATATTAAGCAAAAAACATTAAATTGGAAGCATAAAATATTTCTAAAGAAGGCAGAGAAACAGTAAAACAACAAAAAACATATAACTACAAATCAACTCAATAGACACAGAAAAATCATTTGCAAAATTCAACACCAATTCTTGATTAAAAACAGACAAACAAAAAAGCCCCCCAAACTTCAGCAGACCAGGTATAGAAGGAAACTTACTCAACCTGAGAAAGAGAATCTATGAAAAAAAAAAAAAACTACAGCTAATAGCTTAATAATGAAATACTGAATGTTTCCCCCAAGATCAGCAGCAAGAGAAGGATGTCTACTCTCACCACATCTGTTCACTATTATACTAGAGGATCTAGCCAGTTCAGTAAGGCAAGAAAAACAAAGGCATCCAGTATTGAAAGGAAGAAACAAAACTGTATTCAAAGACAACCTGATTGTGTTTGTAGAAAATCTATTGGAATGCACAAAAAAGTTCATAGAGCTAACAAGTGAGTTTAACAAGGCTATAGAATACTGAGTCAGTATACAGAAGTCAATTCTTTTTCTATGTTAGCAACAATCATCAGTTAAAAGTAAAAAACAATTATCTCCATTATCCTTAGATAATATGAACTACTTAGGGATAAATCTGATAACAGATATTTAAGTCCCATTCACTGGAAATATGTACAGTGTTGAGTGAAATTAAAGAAAACCTAAATTAATAGAGAGACATAGCTTGTTCATTGGTCAGAAAGTATTAAGATACTGATAAGATGTTAATTCTCCCCAACTGATCTATAGATCCAGCTCAATCTGGAAAAAAAAAAATCCCAGCAGGCTGTTTTGTAGAAACTGACAGTCTGATTCTAAAGTTCATATGGAAATGAAAAAAGACTTAAAATAGCCACAACAATTTAAAAAAAGAACAAATCAGAAGACTAAACACTACCTGATTTGAAGATTTATAAATCTACAGAAAGCAAGGCAATATGGTATTCCTTTAAAGGTAGACAGATTTATCACTGGACAGAGTACAGAGTCCAGAAACAGACCCACAAGTATATGGTCAAATGATTTTCAATAAAATTCAAAGGTAATTGGGTGAAGAAAGGATGTTCTTTTCTACAGATGGTACTGGAACAAATGGCCATTCATAGGCAAACAAATAAATTTCAACCGATAGCTCATTCCATATACAAAATGAACTCAATTATAACATCTAAAACTATAAAACTTCCAGGAAGAAAACTTTTTTGACCTTGATTTAGGCAAAGATCATAAATAAAATACCAAAAATTTGATAAATTAGACTCCATCAAAATTTTTAAATTCTGAGAATTAAGCCACAGACTGGGAAATCAATTTGAAAATTGTATGTCTGATAAAGGGCTTGTATCCAAATTACATAAGGAACTCTCAAAATTGAAAAGTGGGTAAATTATCAAAAATTTTAATTGGGAAAAATATTTTAACAGACTCTTCACCAAAAAGACCTATGAATAGCAAATAAGCACCTGAACAGACATTAAAAATCATTAGTTCTTAGGAAATGCAAGCAAAACCACAAATATAAGATACCACTATACACCTATTAGAGTGGCTAGAATTGAAGTTTAATTATATCATGTGCTGGCAAGGATGTGGAGGATCTTTGACACTCACACACGGCTGTTGGCAATACAAAATCATACAACTGCTTTGGAAAGCTATTTGGTGGTCTCAAAAAGTTAAACAGACACCTATCATGATCTAGTCTTTACACTCCTAGGCATTTACTCAAGAGAAATGAAAGTATATGTCCATACAAAGACTTAATAGACCAATACTCATAGAAGCTTTATTTGTAAAGCTGGAAACAACCCAAATGTCTATCAAACGTGAATAAATTAACCAAATTTGGTGTATCCATACAATGGAATACTACTTAGCAATAAAAAGGACTGAGCTATTTATGAATACACCAACCTGTGTGAACCTCGAAAATCATTAGGTTGATTGAAAGAGGCTAAACAAAAGACTATTCACTATGATTCCATTTGTATAAAATTCCAGAAAATACAGACTAATCTATAGTGTTGGGAGGTTGGCAGTGGTTGTCTGGGGATAGTAGGTTCATGTTAAATGGAGGGCAGGAGGGAAGGACATAAAGGGGCACAAGGAAACTTTCAGAAGAGATGATCATGTTGACTGTTCTGATTGTAGTATTGATTTCATGTATATATACATGTTTGATGCATCAGTATGATACCAAAACCTGCCTATTGACAGGTTTACTTAAATGCCTCAAGCTGCCTATCCTCAGGTATAAGAGGAAAGATCCCCTCCTACAAAAAATTAATTTCTTTCCCTCTCATACTACCAGGTGTGAAACAAATGTCATCTTGCCACCCAAAACAATTTTATAAGGGGATAGGAGTTTATGTATATTTCTAAATTGCAATTTAAAAATTCTGTTTTCAAATCAACAAAAATGTATTAAGGCCTGTTAGGTAGTCTATCATACCCAGAATTATGTGGCAAACAAATAAGTATAAAAAGTTGTCTTTGCCATTAAAGAGTATGAAGTATAGCAAGAGGGAAGGAGGAAAAGTTTTAAATGAGAGAAATTAAATAGAATAAAAATTGTATATAACTTTATTACAAACAAGAGAGGTACCTCTCACAAGGCAGTACATGGCTAAGTGTCCAATGAACAGTCCAGATGATGGTTGCCATGGGAAATCAGAGGTTCTTCAAAATCGGGGCTACTTGGGGAAGCTTTTCTTCAAAGACGTAGGACTGAAGTTTGGTCTTGGAGTGTTGTATAACATGCACCAAATGTTTGGCTAGACCTAGGAAACACACAATTGCTTTTAATAAATTGTTGGGCTGATGTTCTCTGTTCAGAGAGTCAATATGTTCAGGGAATGCACTGTTCCAGTAAAAAGTCAGTGCCTTTAGATGATGCTGCTGACAGCCTTGCCAGCAGGTCGCCCTTCTCCCAGGCCGAACACACAGTGTGACTGAAGTCTGAAGAGGTTAGTCAGAAATAGCCCATTTGTCGGAACTGGGATGTGTTTGTGGAACTATGTGTTGAAGCACCTGTACCCACCCATGTCTGGATGTAGTTATTAGTCCTTCATTTTCCCAAGTGGTAAACTTGTTCACAGATGTTACTGGAGGGAAAGAAAATGTTCAGTGTTTATGCAGCAGATCTGCTCTAAAGGAACCATTCTGCTCAACTGAGGAAATGCCACAGTTATTTTGGTATTTCTTTAATTTTGGAAGTCTGCATTATTTGCAGGGCTGACTAAAAGGCTTTTTTAAAAATCCACAAATAAACATCAAATTCCTGTTTAATATGGTGGATGTTATTGGTTTTTGAAAAACAAAAGAACAGTCAGTCACTCTTGCACCCACCCAAAAAGCCAGCGGACATTCTGGTATTGACAACAGAAACCTCATGACATAAGTTTTAATTTATTTCTGAATTGGAATATTTACCTCAAAAAGTAGGTGCTGCAGGAAGGCCCTTTCTATTTTTAGTTTCTGAAACTGGTAGCAAAGAGCAGACAGAGATAACATAAATTTAAGAGGAAGTTTGCAAAATCAATTTTTCATCAGCAAGCAAAGAATTCCCATCTCAAAAAAAAATTTTCTATTTCTTTTTAACTTAAAGCCTTTTCTGAGCTGAATAAATAGAATGCATTTGGGTTCTTTATTTTATCCTTAATGCCTAAGAAAAGGTTTATTGTCTCTCTGAAAATAAAGACAATGAAATGGTAATTTACAGTTTTTTTCACACATGTATAACTTGTGTCATCTGACAAATTGAAGTAATTCCAGGGTCAGTTGGGATCACCTTCCTTTGATTAGTTTAAATAAAAAGTTGACGCTAGCCCCTCTCTGGGGGTTCTTACTTGGGGCTATTTTGCAATAACGGGGTGGAGAGAGAGGGTGTCTTTTTTTTCCTGGCTATCTTTTATCTTAAGTTCCTACTTCTATTGAATTTCTGATTTCCACTCTTCATTTCACCTACCATCTAGGACACTGACCCATTCCTCCTTAAATACCACTGGCTGTGTGTAGAGGAGAGTTTCCAGAAGATATGGAATAAAAGGTATGGATGGGATGAGGTGGAGCACTTCACACTGAATATTAGGTATCTGTGTTTTAAAAATACTCCAGAAATTTCTATAACCAACAGGCCCTCTTTTCTAATAAGGACCTCGCTTCCTCGCAACACTGCAGCTCTCACCCCTACCCTTCAGATCTTGCTTAGTGTTTTACTGGTCCTCTAAATCCAAGATTCCTATAGAGTAGTTCCTCTCAAACTTCCCCCAGACCAGTGCTATCCAGTAGTGGTGATGGAAATGTTCTGTAATCTACAGTATACGGTATGGTAGCCATATGTGCCTACTGAGCACTTGAATTAAATGTCACATTTAATTTTAATTTACTTTTACATTCAATAACTATGTGTGGCTAGTGGTTATTACCTTGGATGGCACAGCTCCCAACCATTCAACATTGACCAAGAGGCCACTTGTTCTGAACTGGACACTTACTAAAGTGTGTTTCTCAAGACAGATATTTAAAAACAGGACTAGTTTAAAAAAAAACAGGAAAATAAAAAAGATATTTTTTCTTTCCACTTGCTGCATACCTAATATGGCATGTGTCCCTGTGCATGAAACTTTGCCACAAAAATATTGAAAAGGGGAAAAACAACCCTCAGTTTAGCCTTCAGTATTCTATTGCCCCAGCCTTGCTCCCTCAAATACATCCTTTTAAACATGATTATACATTCATTTAGTGCTGGTGTCCAAATATAAATTAGTAAATCATGATACTGTGTTGAAGTTCCTGACAAATAACTTCTTAGATTAGCTAAACAATTTAATACATCTAAGTCATGAGTTTAAGATATGCAATTTGTGTTTCTAAATTTTAGGATACACTCCAGTTATACATATTTTTTCTTTTGTCAGTTGCATCTAAGGAAATTTGGCATGCTGCACAATGGGATTATGTGCGTGATTTTCAGCTTAATCTTCCCTCTCAAAGAACTGAATATGCCTCTGCTAACGTGGTTTCTGCATCTAACTGTTATTTCTTTTGGTATAAAGAATACGTTCTGGAGCACTGCAGTTCTTTTAAAGGAAATATTACTTATCCCAAGAGGGTAGATTTTGTTTTATAATATATGTTTGCCTTCCACATTCCTTCCTTTAACATGTTTATTGCAATTGTTGATCTTAAACAGATGGGTTTTGTTTTGTGATTGAGTGTGCATTTAATAGATTCTGTGAACACTTCTCTTCACAAGAAGACCACTGACTTTTGAGACAAGGCCTAACATGATACTTCTTTTCTGAAACACTACCTTGCTTAGCTGTTTGCTCATTCTACCTTTACATTTCTTCTGCGTTTGGCACCCAGTCATTCAGGTGTTTCACATAAAAATTCAGCATTTCTATTTACAGAGATAAGAATTATACACGAGCATTTCCTATTATGATTAGCATGGCCACCTTCCAGGTGTGCCTTCCTCCCTGCTTGGTAACAAGGCAGCTGCCTTCATTCTGTTGGGCAAAAGGAGTTCTGCCAAAAGAACATTTGTTATCTCACTAGTAATTTATTTCCTGTTAGTCATACTAAGTAAAATCTCAGCTCTTTATCTGTCAATACTATTGTTTCCATTATTAGCATCACATCCTTCAAATTTTGAATCATAATGGTTAGTCAAATTTCATATTTTGTCACCCATAATATATATTGATTAGGTCTTAAAGTCACAAATATCTTTATTACATACTTTAGTTATAAAAGTAGCATAATCATAAAAAGTAACAATCATGTGAGTTAAAATATGAACTAAAGGAAAATATAATCCACCACTCTAATGTAATCACTAATTTATTTATTTTCAGATAGTTATAATAATGATGGCCATATAATTTAGTATCTTACTTTGTAATCGTTTACCATTTTATTATAAGGCATTTCCATGTTATGACATAGTCTCCTCAACCCTCTTTTTTTGTAGTTAGCATTTCATTGGCTACATTATTCTATTCAGAGGTCACATTATAATTTATTTACATAATTCCATATTGGTGACCATTTGAAATACATCTGATATTTAAGTTTGATAAACAAGACTCTTAAGAGCATCTTTGTACTCATCATAGCTTTATACATATTTTGTTTAACCTATTGGGGGATTATTTATCTACTTATAGAGTATTAATTTGCCTAGATCTAAATCTAATAGAGTGTATCTGTCTATATACGTTTATTATTAATTTACCACAATGGTTAAATTTTGAAACTCAAACATTAAGGAAGGGTACAATTACGCAATAATATATAATTAATATATTAGGAAGAGATACTTTTCTACAGTGTTAAGTATATTAATTAATTTACCCAAAATATCCTTTTTGAGCACTACGTCAAGTACTATTCCTGACGTATTTGGAAAGCATCAGTGACCAAGGGAGACACCACCCCTGTCCTAATAAAGCTTTCCTTGTTATGAGTGGAGCAGACCAGTCTACAGAAGAGACAGTGCTTTGGATGGGAAAATAGATGTCCTAGGAAAACATGTAGATGGGGCTCAATCCCTTAATTACAGAGCCCTCTAGGGCTTCCTAGAAGAAGTAACATTTAAATAAAGCCTAAAGAATAAAGAACTAGTCAGCAAAAACTGGGTGGGCTAGGGAAGAATAAGTGCGTTTCAGGCACTACTAATGGCGTGTGAAAGCCCACAAAGCAGAGGAACATATGTGGTGGACAAAAAACTGAAAGGAAGTACTATGTTTGCAGAGGGAAGCATGTGTAGGAATATTTGAATGTTTCTTTCACATTTTAACATTCATCATCATCAGACTATCATTTCAAAGTCAATGGAATGATTTGATGGAAACCCCCAAGGGAAGCTCTCTTCAAAAAGATCTCCTACCATTCTTTTCCTGAACTTTGAAATCCCTATTGTTTCTCTCTGCTTTGGCTTCAGGTATTGAAAGCCCTTGCTAATTTGTAAATTTATTACTGGAAAGAGTCACATGTCCTGAAGGAATGGGTTACAGTAGTGTTAAATTTTATGAACTTTTCAATAGAAACAGTTCCTACTGAGAGTTTCTCCTTAGAAAATGAAAACTTAGGTGTGTATCTTAGACTTGTGGAAGACTTGGAAAACAGGAGTAGGAGTGGAAAGAAGGTATTACCCCCGAACAATTGTGAAATAGCTCCAAATCATACCTTATTCACAAATTTTCCTAGTCTAAGCCCTGTCCACTGCAGCATTCTAGAGGAAAGTGGAAAATACTTTTGAAATATAACTTCTTTTCTGCATCAAAAGTGAGACCTTTTTCGTTTCATGGCCAATTTTTCAATGTAATGCAGACCAACGGAATCATGGTTTCCTTTATACTCCTTGGCTATTAGGTCATGCATTAGTAGGCACAACCCGTATTTAAGGGAGTCATGAAGAGTTGCACTAGGTGAGGAGTGTAGTAACTAATGCAGTTGGTTGGTGCCAAAATTAGGGTGAGTAATTTAATTTTGATTTGGCTATAGCAATCATCATAGTAATATTTCCAGTCTTATCGTACGACATTTGTAATTCACTGTTTAAATATTATGGTAGTTATTTGACTATTATAAATTTTCTCCTCCTTTTGGGCATGTGGTAGTTATTTTCATTACCTGCCCTCCTTTAAAGCTGTGACTTGCTTTTTGCTCAGTGGAATGGGAATAAAAGTGATGTGTGTCTCTTTCAGATGGAAGCAGTAGCCCCTGGAAGATGGTATCAATCAGGCTTGCTTTGAACCATATCCGTATAATAGCCATTGGGAAATGTGGAATTGTGGGAACTATTGAATGAAGAATGAATTCTCATAATCACAGCAAGAAGGAAAATGGACAATTACAAATCAGTATTTTTCTAGCTACACAGCCCCTGCTTTGTGGAAAAACTAGTAACTCTCAAATTCTCCCAGATAGTCCTGAAAGTTCCCAGGAAACTCTTGCTGTGCTCTGCAGCCAAATCTTCTGGCTGCAGTGTGCCATCTGTGACCTTCTCTTTTGTTCCAAATAACTATGGCAATGGCAATGAGCAAAGTAGTCGCTCTTTTAACAAAGCACAAGGACAGCTACAGCCCCACTCATTAATGTCAGTTGAGTGTGGCAGAGACTGCTTGCCCCTCAACTGCATTCTTCACACTTCACATCTTTAGTTAAAAAACAAAACAAACAAACAAACAAAAACTTGCGTTTCACTTGGTTACATGGTCCTTAAAGCCTACATGGCTCTTAATGGAAGGGACATCCCTTCCATTTTTCCTTTCCCCTTTTTAACCGGTTGGAATAGAGATATAATGGTGGGAACTTGAGCAACCACCTCATACCATGAGATGGAAGTCACATGATGGTGAAGCAACACATGTGAGTCCTTGACACCATGACACTGTATCTGTCTTATACTGTTATCACTCAGACTGTTAAATAAGACATAAATACATTTCTCTCTAATTTAAGCTACTGTTATTTTGTTTTGTATTACAGATAAGATTATAACCTAACTACTGCAATGAGAAAATTGAGACAGTAAACATAAAGCTACCAAAAATTTGAGCAGAACTGGAAAGACTGGAGTTCTTTTGGAGGTAAGAGCACTTAAGGTAAAGCAAAGAAATTCAAAATGCATTGTTGACAAAGTTACACCCACCAGTGTTTGTTCAGTACAAGAAGAACAGTTGTGAGATTTTTCCAAAATATTACTTGTTAGTAAATTTATGGTAATTCGGCAACCCATGTCCTCAGTACTGAACATCAGAAGATACCTATAAATGCCCGTGGATTTCTACAACTAACTTCACTTTATGAGCTCTACTGCAGGAAACAGCTTAATTCTCTTATTCTTCAGAATAGTTTCACTAAAAAGAGTAAGGCAGTAGAAGAAACACTTAGATATCTTTTGCCTCTCTCCATTCTCCTATTACCCTACTTCTATGCCAGGGGTTAAAAAGCAAATTGCTACAATTTTAAGAATAAATTCTTTTCCAGCAGCACATGAGTGAATGTTCTCTACTAGATATCTTGAAACCATAGAATTACCATTCTCCAGGCCCAGTGACTCTCCGTGGGCCATACGCTGTAAGAGATAGGATTTGCCTCTGGGCTGATAGATTATAAGCCCGGTTCTGAATAGATCAGTTTAGTTCATGTAATAGATAAGAACTGTTTCTTTGCCCACAACAGAAAATATGACAACTGGTGACTTAAACCTCATGATATTTGTTATACCATTAAAATACGGAGTCTAGAGGTAGGAGGGCCCAAGATTATTTACCTTCAGTGGCATAATGACGTTGTCAAATACGTGGACACTTTCCATTCTTCTCCTTCACTATGCTCGGCCTGTTGGCTTCCGTCCCTCTTGGATACAAGATGGCTGACACAGCCCCACACCCACCTCCTTCTTCAGTCCTATTCAAAAGCAAGTTAGAGGAAAGGACAGGAAGCAGCTTTCTCCTTGCACACCTCTATCCAAATAAAGGAGGAAAATCCTTACCAGAAGCCCTCTGTTACAAGTTACCTTGTTACTCAGATTGTGGTCCTCCGACCACACCTGGGAACTTAAAGTGCAACGTCTCAGGCTCCATCCTGGTTACTGATTCAGACTGCACATTTTAACAAGATCCCTCAGGTGATTCTTACACACAGTAAAGTCTGAGAATCACTGCCTTTATAAACTGCTTCTTATGTCTTAGCCAGAACTTGGTGACATAGCTATCCCCAGATGGAAGGGATAATGGCAAAGTAATCTTCCTTTTTTAGCCTCTGTAGTGGGAAACAGGGAAGGGAAAATGAGGCAGGGAATGACTGTTGGTGGGACAACTCCCAGGATCTGCCATAGTATTTCTCCAGCGACAGAGTGGTGCAGAATGCCGTGCTCCATGGAGTTCAGTGTTACCCACTGTAGCTCTCTGAGTTCATGGAGCCTTTGAAACCTGCCCAGAGAAGGAACCACTGCCCTCAGCAGTGGTATTTTTAACAGCAGGTTGAGACTTTACCCTTATGATTTTGGAAAGGTTTCTTATTTTTATAATCTTGAGGTTTAAGACTGTTGTCTGACCCTGGGGAATTCAAAGGAAAAATATTAAAGTTAGTATAATTGAAGGGAAGGTGAAAATTGTAAAATAGCAGGTTTCTTTTCACTTTTGGTTGGTGTGAAACATTTTTTCACTGAGAGCAGCAACAAAATTTATTTTCATGTACATCTTTTTCTTTGTTATGCATTAGTTTTCTGTCCTTATTAAAAATTTACTAAGAAAGCCTTATAAATATGAAATAACTGGCTTAGAGGATTTTAGTTTATTTTTAAAATGAGAATTATGCTGTTTCAAAGTTAAGCCATTAATAAGTTAAGCCTTCTTAAGTGTTTTATAAAGTAAAATTCTAACAAGTTTTCCAATCAAACAAAGTAATAAAACACAAGGATAAAATGGCATATAGAAAAAGTAATAAAATAAAAATGTGAGGGACCTCTCAATCATGAGACAAGGACCTTGTAAACTCTGATTTAAGCCAATTTTGGTTTGACTTCCTGGTGATTATGTGATGATTTATGGATGGTAGTATAGAAATAAGAGATGTCCTTTTTTGTCTCAAAATACCTCTGCATACTTGTTTGAAGCCTCTAAATCAGTGATCTTTCCCATTGGTTATTTAAAGGACGTTTTGAAAATGGGTTTTGAGCTACATTCCTGTCTCTTCCCAACCAAATGTTTATTTTGTTTAATTCCATGGAAAAAGTATGGTCCCAATGAACCCATCTTGCTGTTGCTTTACCTGTTTGATATAACAGAATAAATTGAGTGTAACTCCAGAGAAACAGAAATTTTTACAGGAAAAAAAGCAGAGGAATCTTCAATATAGAGATGGTTGTTTGGCTTCAGAAATGCTGCAGACACATGCAAGAGCACGTCCTTAAATCAAAATTACAAATGAGTCAGTGGTCTTGTACAGACAAGCGAAGAGTTAGAGGGTAGGTCACCCCTTACAACACTTGGCATGTTTTAGGTGCACATAGTTCTCATCAAATTGGCTGGGAGGCCCCTACAGAGATCTCCTGGGAGACTGTGGTGCCCACTAAAACAACTGTGACTTTCAATAAAAATTTATGCCATGGATGCCAAAACAAACTTGTGAAAATTGTTCACTTTCAGGCGACCTGGACAAAAACCTTAGGAGGGTTGAAGTCATTATTTAAAAGACTGTCTATAAGAGCCAAGAGAAATGTATCCCTGATTTATTCGAATACAGGTTCTAGTAAATGGCAAATCCACAGTCAGCCAAATTTGCATTTCATACCTGGAGCCTGGATTTGGCTCAGCCTAATCTGGCCAGTGAAAATGATGAGGCTCCTTGGCCCTTGCTCTCTGAACTGCTAAATGGAGATTTCAGAATATGGCAAAAACTGGATCTTAAATTTAAAGATTTGGTGATTAATTGGGAGTTTGGGGGAAGTCTTATTTTTGTTCTTTCAAATAGACTGTTCATTGAACCAAAAGGAAAATAATATTTTCAACAAAGCAAAACAGCAAGTTCGATTACGAAACTGGATGCCTTAAGGAAATATTTTGTTTCTTTTTGGTATTTGAATTTCAGATTCTCGTCAAATATGAGTTGTATTCAGTCAGCTTAGTAGTAAATCAGAATGTCACCACTTGACCTTGGCAAAGTTACCTGGTAATGAGGATGAAAGGTGTATGGAACAGTTTGGGTCTGAGTCACCAAGTTTTCCTTCAACAGGACAAATGTGTCATCTGTTTTGTCATGGCTGGTCTTGAGCAATAGTAGCTGTGGTGGCCACAGAGAGGAATGGGCAAGGCATCAGGCTGCAGGTCAGGAGGTGATATGCACACATAGGTATACTTCTGCAAATGCACAGACTGGAAGAAAGCGCAAGAAACTGGTAACAGATGTGCTGCTGTAGGAGGTCCTGAAGTGGGAATCTGGTGAGTCAGGGGTGGGAAGAGAATTTATTTTTTCATGTATATCATTTTTTAATTTTTCAGTTTTCTACTGCACACACACACACACACACACCATTCAAGAAAATGAATAATAATATCAAAAGACAGAGTGAGAAAGAACACATATATATATTTTTAGCTCTACATTAAACTCAATGGATTATTTTCTCTCTCTGGACCTTAGAAGCCTCTTTTGTAAAATGAAATGGTTGGAGGAGGGTATAGCTCAGTTGTAAAGTGTGCATGCTTAGCAAGCATGAAGTGCTGGTTTCAATCCCCAGTACCTCCATTAAAAAAAAAAACAAACCTATTTATCTCCCTATCCCCCCAAAACAAAAAATAACTAAAGTGGGGTAGAGTTTAGCCTACAGAAATAGCTAATATTTGTTAAATCAGGGACTCCACAATTATAGAAAATAAAAATTTTCATCTGAATCTGATGTTGGAGAAAGAATATACTGTTACTAATAATATGAATCAAAAGTAGTATCTTATTAACCATAACGTTCAAAATTCAATGGTTATATATTGAGCATCTGCTCTGAGAAGGAACATTTGGGAAGTAATGGGGAAGGGAGAAGTTACTTCTTCTTATTGGGTGCAGCCTGTGGAGAACAACAGAGCAAGATGGCTAAAGGCCCAAAGGACATAAGAAATGGCACATTCAAGGGCAGAATGAATTAAGACCACATTCGCCTACCTGGGATCATCACTTCAGCAGAGCCTCTGCCCGTCTTTGCTTTATCTAGGAACAAACTGGTGTGACTGCCTTTGTCCAGCCCAGCTGACCTTGTCTAAGTAGCTTCCTGTAAGTGGGCTCTGGCCCCATATGTTAGAGTTCTCACTTGCCCACAGCTCAGACATCTCCTAACTTTGTTCTCGCCCACTCTAATTCCATTATAGCTTTCACTGGGGAAGATTCGGCTCAGTTCTCTGTCTCTGCACTTTCTCTAGTTGGCTTTTGCATCGCAGAAGTGATTTCACCCTTAGTCATGTAGGACTGAATGTCTGCCTTCTAGCTTGGGGCAGATGAAGTGGAAAAGAGTCTAGGCTTCGAAGTCCGTCAGGCAGGGCCTGCGTTCACATTTCAAAGGTGTCCTCACTTGGCTGTAGAAATATGACTAAGCTGCTTAAAATCTCTGTGCCTGCTGCTTCATTTGTAATGTAATCTCTTAGTTATGCACCATGAGTCTGGAAAAACCTGTTAACACAGGCTATTCTGGAAAGAAAGCATTCTCATTTGAACACATGGAGAGTCCAGAGCACAAGCCTCAACGCTGGCACTACTGACATTTTGAACCAAATAATTCTTTGCTGTGAGGGGCTGTGTTGTGTGTTGTAGGATGTTTAGCAGGATCCCTGGCCTGTACCCACCGGATGCCAGTAGCACTCCCCAAATCCATATGTGACAACCAAAATTGACTCTAGACATTGCCAAATGTAATGTCACTGCAGGTGGAGGGGGATATTGCCACCAGTTGAAAACTACTGATTCAGAGGATGAGCTTCCTATCAAGTTTCATTTTGGTTCATACAGAGTCAGACTAGGCTGGGTTTCTGGACAATATTGTCTTTTTCTGGTGTTCCTTACCATGAGTCTTCAATCCAGCTTTATTGGGCAGCTTGCTGGGGCAGTGGGGACATGGTTGCCACAGGAGTTAACTTAAGGCTTCAGAGAATTCAGAGAGAGCTTCTACAAGCCAAACAAACTTGATCTTGATGATCTTAACCAACTCTTTGGTAAAGCTTTCACATGTTATTACTGTAACCAAGTTTCTATCTCAGCAAAGATCGGCAAGAGATCAGGGAGGGAGGAGAGACAGAAGACTCCATCCTCTTGCAGCCACGGGAGAACTTAGGAGCAAGCTGCCTGCCTCAAGGTTTGACAAACAACTAAAGTAACCTGTCTCTTCTTTCCTTCTGTGACTCAGTGCTCTCTCTCAACCGGCTGCCATCTCTGCCCACTCACTCAGCCTAGTGACCAGCAGCATCCACATCAGGAGCTGCAGGCCGTGGTTTAGTTTTTTGGACTCTGTTTGGATGGATTATACTTAGATTCATCAGGTCTTGAAGTCAGTCTGAGGAATCTGTACTTAAAAAAAAAATCAATGGAGTGGTTAAGAGAGGAGAGAATTTCTTACAGGTGGGATGGTGACACCGTTAAGTGCATCACAGTCATTGTGGGTGATGGGAACTGAGAAATACTCTTGGCTGAGTTGATCAGGATGGCACTTGTGATATTCTAAGAGGATGCTTCAGTGAGAGAAGAGGATAGTAACCAAATGATAGGCTGGAGAGAGTGATTAAAATGAAGGAAGATATGGGGAGAATGGGGTCAGTGGCTTAGACTCCTCTTTCTCAAGAAGGTGGGGGGGTGCACACAGCAAATACAGATTTTTTTTTTGAGACAGAGGACATCTGAGATTGTCTGAAGATTGAAGCCAGTAGAATAGAAGAAATCAGAAGTGCTAGAGAGGAGGGACGAACCAAGGAAGCAACATACCAGAGAAGAAACATCCTTCCCCCTGAAACTTGTGGAAAGAATTAGAATAAGAGGGAATTCCCGTATAATTTACTGTTTTCAATTAAGAAAGTTGAAATGCCCCTTGTAAAACACACTTGAAAAGGTGAAATATTAGACTGTTATCAGCCATGAATACTCTGATTTAAACCAGCTTTAGGAATCTATGGGTAATAAACTAGTGATTAAGTATTTATTAAACATTTATTGTTTACATGCCCTAAGGATTTGGACTTCTGCCAATTCTCTGAAAAGAAAGGCAAAAGTTATTTCAAAATGTTTACATTATATTAAATAGAAAACTTTTGAGTATTAATCTGGATTTAACATCTTGTAACTTTTACTCATCTTCAACCAAGCTGGTCACTATTATCTCTTACAACAAAAAAGATATGTGCTCAACTTAGAGGGCAAACATTTACTAAGCATCTACTATTTTCAAGTGCTGTGTGTGGTTCTGGTTTAGTGGGTGTTGGAAAAAAGGTGGAAGAGCAGGGTGGAGAGCTGTGTCAGGACAGCTTGGAAAGCCAGAACTATGATGAGTTGCCCAGACTCACAGCAAATATTTAAAATCTAGAATCTCAGGGCCTTGAAACAGGAGGTTTTATAGCACAGTATATCCAAAGTATTTTATTATCAGTGGAGCACCAGATATACTGAAGAAACATCCTTTGCCTGTAGGAAGTGAGATCGAAAGAAATCCTTCTCTTGCCCTAGCAATATTTTCACTGTGCCAAAGATAAAGCAAGGGAGTCCTCTGACAATTTTTTTCATTAGAGTCTAAGTCTGTGGCGCATAAACAAATAATTTAATGTCCTCAGCTTAGATGCCTCATCAGTTTAAAACAGACCAATCACACATTCTTGCCTGAAGACAGTTGGCTGGGCTAGATGCTATTTTACATTTCACTTGAGCTCCAAGAGTTCTATTTCTATGATAAAACCACTCAAATGCATAGAAAATATAATGCATTTATTGCCCCTTTTCAAATAAGTCCATTTTTCTCTTGAATACAGCTAAGGGATGGCTTACTGTAATTTTTTATTTTGGCAATTTAAAAGAGTTTCCATGGTTTCTATGGCCTCTTGGTCACTTTTTCTGTGCATTGGCTTGACCATGAGATTATCTGAGGCCAACATTGTCAGCTCTTTGGACTTAAGTCCCTCGGGCATGCCCTCCTCCCTGGGGGCAGTAAAAATTGGTTTGGGATGATGTAATCTTAGATAATACATTGGTTTGTAGGCCACCAAAGGGCCACAATACGTAAACAGATATAACGCATATCTGTGGTGTTAAAATTTCATGATGAGATGTGGGGGGAAATTAGAAAAAATATCTAAAAAGACTTGGAGTGGGAGCAATAATAAAAAACAAAAGTTGAGAAACTGCCCCAGGACGGAGAGTCCTGGGGGAGGTGGGGATATGAGTTCTATTGGGTAGGACTTTAACACATTAAATACAATACTTTTTTTCTTTTTTTTTTCTTTTTAAGTTTTAGAGGTCTCTATTTGAAGTGTATCCTACCCCCTTTCATTCTAATCACCATAGGATACATTTTGCAGTGTTTTAAATTTAGACATTTTCTAATGCAATGCAATATATAATACTCACTTTATTTAACAACTGTGTTGTGACAAAAGGCGTATCTCGAAAAACAACTCTGTCCTTGAAGTCAGACTGTTCTGTGTGGTAATCTAGCAGAGAGGTCTTGCAGCAAGCAAGGGAAGGAGAGTCACTGGACAAGAGAAAGACATACCTACATTTCAGTCCCAGATTTGCTTTGGCTTAGCCTTGCAATTAGGATCAAGTCGAGTAAAGCCCCGGAGTTTCAGCTTCCACACCTGTAAAACAAGGCTGCTAATGCTTCCTGTTGTAGGGTTATTAAAGGATTTGAGATAGCTGATGTCTAGTGGCTGTTTCTGAGTTAGGGGTAAGGCAAGGGGAAGTAAACAATAACTGCATAGAAAAGGACGAGATGCCCAGATGCCCAGTGGACCTATTTTACCGAACTCCACAAACATCCTGTTTGAGTTCCTGCTGCTGCTGTTAAAAACAAACAAACAAAAAATTCTTCCACACAGAATGTAGCCCCTGCCCAGTTTAAATAAACTCAGAAAGACTATCAGTATCTTTCAGAGTAAGATTTGGACTTTGCATCCATTAAGAGACATCAGGACCATCAGAAGAAATACCAGCAAGGAGCAGCATTTCTCCTGCTCCATAAAATCACCATGATTTATTCCTTTAATGAAAAAAGGTAGGAGCTGGTGCAGGCACAACAGCTGTGGTTTTATGAGGGAAAAATAAGCCAGAATTCCTTGTGGCGGGGCTATTGCCACAAGGGGTCAGATCTGGCTTATTGGTAGAGGCTGGTATCATCCCACAGTGACACAAACGTGATTGGGTATCAAATAGCTTGAAATAACTCGCAGTTGTTTTAGGTGAGAAGAACTTAAGCAATTCCAGACCTGACCAGCTCCATTTAGGTA